AGTGTTGTTAGGAGAAGGAGGGTATGTATCTGTTAATATATATACTATGTCCCAACTGAGTTTGGACCAAGAAAAACTGGAATAACTTTTTATAGAAATGCGAGATAAGAACGAGACTTTCACAGGTTCTTAGTCGCCCAATGCCGCTTCAGGATCTCAGGTTTTGGGTCTCTTAGCCCTTGGGAACCCTGAGAACCGGGGTCTCCCTATAAACCCAATGGCATACCAAAGCTAACCGCAATGACGTTTAATGATGTCATAGTTTACATAAGCACATGTGGTCGAGCGCCCAAACTGATAATTCTTCTTTTAAAATGCTAACAGAGCGAGATCTTCTGATGATGATGGGCTTTATGACGACTAGTTGACTCCAGCAGCTATTGTACTGCTTATCAGGAAGAACAAGACTGGTTCAAGAATAAAACAAGATAGCCAAAATATCGGCCATGTCTCTATGAATATCATTATAATGCGTCATTAGTGACGTAGCTACATTTTTCAAATTCCAATGCAGCTGCTTCCACTTCCGGTCCATTCTCAGTTGGGACATAGTATAATACTGTAATATGTAATTTAAGTACATACTTACCAAATGCTAGTATAAATGGTTCACTACTACCAGCCTCATTACTAAATACAATACTGATATTACACTGTTGATACTGAGGGACTGATATTAATCCTGTTATATCATTCATATTCCTTATTTGGTAAGTTGTACTGCTATCAGTTCCATTACACTGTACAGTAACTGTAACATGATCAGGAGCTTCACCAGTACACTCCAGTATAACCTATGAATTAATAATAATGGTATTAATGAAAGTATTAATAGCATACTTGGGGGATATAGAACTGGACAATAACCACATCTTGTGTATAGTAGAGTATGTCAAGTGATGTGTTCTGTACAGCTCTAGGTACTATGGAAGATTAAAGTGTAACTGCAGTGATTTTTTAGGGTATTTATTTTATGGTTTTAATATGATTGCCTGACCATAATAATGATGTGTTCCAACTCCTATTGTCTAAAAAAATTTATTCACTGAGATATGAGCCTTCAAAAATGCACTTTTGCTTCCTTTCAATATACTTCCTGTCAATGGGTGTGGCTAAACGTGACGTCATAAGAGGCATAGATGCCGATAACTCCATTCC